GGTCAACATGAATTAAAAAATTAACTGATCTTTCGGCAGCTCTGTTCCTCCTCCCAACAGGCCAAGCTACAGCTTGCGAGGGGAAGTACCCTTCGATAGATAATCACTACCTCCAAAGCCGTAGGCAAGTAAACTATAAAGACATCTGCAACCACCGAAGGAGTATTCCCGAACAAAAAGTACAAAGTCTCAAGACCTAGAGGTGGGAGCTGAACAGCCACAAGTTTCTTCTACTCTCAACAATGGTTTTGGATGTTGTTCACGATAGCCGGTACGTAGTACCTGCACCTTTTGTCCATACTTTCAGAGTAGGCTGGATATCCGCGGCCCCCTCATCTTTATATATCACTGGCTCTGTCGCCTACCAGAGACGTGTAACCTTTCGACAAGACTTGGAAGCAGGCACTAAGAAATCAGCTGGCTTACGCTAACACGCAAAAGAATATTCCATACTAAATCCGAATGAAGACTGAGTCCCGCTACAGCACCAATCAGCACGGGAAAAGATTTAGCTGGGCCTGTTCCACTGGGACTGGTCAGTCAGCGAAAACCTTTATCACCTCTAAACCTGTGCTAACAGTAAACCCGGAGGTATTTCACGTTATGAAGGGCACTTCCAAGCAACTTGAGGGAACTGCGAGGTTAAGTATTATGGCTCCAATCCCTGTGACCTCACCTCATTCCGAAAGTTACAACCCTGACGAGAACATGGTTATCGCCCAACATTAGTGACACTGAGGTGACCATCGGCACACGGTCAGACGCACTTAGTATCTGGTCGAAGGAGTCTCTGGCCCCCCAGTGGCAACGTGGAACATGGCCAAAAATTACTACAGGTGATGTACGAAGTGTCAACTGAGAAGCGTGACGGGGCCCTAAATGCTTATGACTCCAACCCAAATCTCTCAGCCTAACGCAAGGCAGCGCTGCTTGGGGCCAGAAGTTTGATCGCCACCTGCTAAAGGCCAGCCAGATGGCCGGGCTATGCGGACAGATTCGCGACAATACTCCCGGGGTTAGGAAGGCAAGCAATCCAGACTGGATCACCGGTTGAAAGAAGAGCGTCTGTTAATTGGAAACATCCAGGTACAAACTCCTCTCGGAAGCAGTGATCACACCGCGGTATTATTCGATCTGCAAGCAGTTATCGAGAGAGGGATCCCCCTGCCCCTGTTGCACCACTGCAAACTGCAAGGAAATGAATCGATGCCTGTCAATAGCACCATGGTCAGTAGGTTGAAACTTCTTATCAGTTAAATGGCACTAGAAACCGGTAAGAGGCATCACTGAGGTGGTGATTTCTGTAACCGTCCCCGTGGTGGTAATATTACTCAGAAAGCGAACCTCGTGGCCATAAAGAGGCACTGGGCATCTCCTGAAAGTCAAGAGGAGAGCGTGGTATAAATGGAGGCCCTCCGGAGAAGTGGGTGATCGCGAAGTCAATATAACCTCAGGGCACGGGTCGACAGGAGGTCGTTCCAGTGCAACCTCGTTAAAAGGCTTGAAGTAGGTCTCAGAGCCCTATACCGGCTCATGGCGGAGGGAAAATCTACAAACCTAAGAACATGTATCATCATAAGCCCGAAAGGGAAAAAGCCTCTCCGGGAAGGAGATCACTGAAATGTTAAGCACCACCACTGACACACAGCTCAGCATCCCATCCCGCAGGCACCCATACACAGTCTGAACAGCTCCAAGAGTTATCTGGCGGAACAGAGTCGCACGAAATACAGTGCTTGTGCTGCTTTTCCTGATAAGCTATCAAAGCTAGGTGCGGAGAAACCTCCAGGGTGCGAAGGCATTCGTCCATTTGTGTTGAAACAATGTGCCGGTACCTCAAGTAGTCCGCCTTGCAGTCTTTTCCAATACTTCGCGGATGAACAAAGGCCCCTAAAGGAGTGGGAGACGGACAGAATCTGAACCGTTACCGGCCCCTTACACTTTCACCAGTGATGGTGAAAGCTATGGAAACCATAACAAACGACCACATGTAAGAATCCACGGACACAAAACAAACAGTCTGTGAGGCTCAGCATGGATTCCGAAAGGGTAGGTCCTGTGCCTGCAACCTCCTGATAGCTCACGACCACCGAACCTCGCGGTCCCGGTTCGCGCGAAACGTGCAGAACGAAATCGAATGCACTATAGAACGACCTGGAAATACTGGAGGGTTGGGCGACAAATGAATAATTGTCATTTAACCTGTACATGGAATTCCACGGAAGCAATGAAACAGACGCAGAGACCACAGCGGACATGCTCACACCACTGCTACAGAAGGTTTGGAAGAAAGGGGAGAAAGTTACTCGCAGATCTGAAGAAGAGCTACCTTGTCTAACTTCCGAAGAAGGAAGACCTAAGTCTTTGCAAAAGCTGCGCGGAATCATGCTGCTGCTCAGCCATAAAGTTTCCGAAGTTCGGGAAAGCAGCAAAACCAGATGGAATTCCGCCAGAAGCACTGAAAACAGACGCAGAGACCACAGCGGACATGCTCACACCACTATTGCATCACCTTTGGAAAGAATGAAGGAAGGAGAGGAACCTGCTGACAGGAATAGGGGCTACATTGGCAAATTTCCAAAGAAGAGTGACCCAAGTGTTTGAAAGGACTGGTGTGGAATCATGCTGCTGCTCAACCCAAGCAAAATATTAAGCTGCAGCTTACTGGAGAGAATAAACATGCTCTGGATTCAAAATCACGACCGGAACAGGCTGGTTAGCTTCAAGAAGAACAAGTCATGTGGGGATCAAACTACAACGCTACGCATCACCATAGAACAGAGCGTGGAATGGCAGTCAACTCAACTCAACTCTACCTCAACTTCATCTACTTTGTAAAGGCCTTCGATAGCGTCGACCGAGAAGTAATTTGGCAAGCAGCTGTTTCAACACTGTGGAGTCCCACAAATCTTTATCGACTTCGTTCAACAGCAGCTATATGCCATATGATGATGATGCTACATGCCAAGTGATTCACAATGCAAAGCTCAGTGATGCGTTTGTAGTGAAGACAGGAAGCAGTAAAACAAGGTTGCCACCTACTATCACACATCATCTTCCTGATTGTGGTCGACTAAACTGTAATGCACTGGACTGGACTGGATCATGCAACAGACAACTGTGAGGAGCAATGAGAAGATGGGCATACGCCGTTTGACTGATGCGAGGAAAAGACTACAGAAGAAGATTTGGATTTCACCAGTGATGATGATTTATGTCTAATGTCTTATGTCGTACGAACTCGAAGATGTACAGGTGAAAACTAACAAGTTGGCAGAAGAGATGAGGTGAGGTGTGAGGCGAGGCAGAGAAGGAAGATGGGACTTCCATGAGGTGGATGTGGAGAAGACAGAGGTAGATGTGATGAAGATACCCAATCACCACCACCAGCAACAACAACAAGCCCAATCACCATGAACGGGAGAAACCTAGAGGAAGTTTTCTGTTTCACCTATTCACCTACCTAGGCAACATCGTTTCAACCACTGGTGGCACAGACGAAGATGAGGATGTCAGAGCCATCCAGGATTGGAAAGACAACAAGATAGGTCTTCCTTCATTAATCTGAGACCAGTGTAGTGATATGCTGCACTCAGCACAAAGAACAAGATCTGGATCAACACTAAGTCACTCAAGTCAGTGCTTCTGTATGGTTGAGAGACTTTGCGCGTTTCGAAAAGCATTTCCAACAAATTACAGGCATTCACCATTTGCCAACGCTGGATATTGAAGATCGATCAGATGGACAGAAAGAATAAGCTACAAGCGACTCCGGTAGAAAACAACCAAGAACATATCACCCAACAAATTTGCAGAAGAAAGTGGAGATGGGTCGGGCACACACTGAGAAAACCATTAGGAGACATCATGCGCCAGGCCAGTCCCTCGAGTGGAATCCAAAGGGGAAACGACAAGTTGGGTGTCCGAGGGTGACACGGAGGAGATCATGTGGGAAAGAAATGAAGGCATGTGGTTACTGGTGATGCCAAGTTTGAAGAGAAGACTGCATAGAAGAGGGTGAAATTGCGACGTGCTACTGAAGCCATCTGTTCGACTAGAACCGAAGAGACAAATAATAATAATAAGACAAATAAAATAATTTAACCTGGATCAATGCCGGTCCATGTTCTTTTGCACTCCTGATCCTTAGAAAGTATCCTACTCTCCCTATTGCTCCCAAGTTTATCACACCCAAGCAGAGAAAGACCTGGATTCAGTGGTGACAGAGGAACTGGACACCATTTCTAATAACCCCGGAGATTCTCAAAAGCATCCGCTATAGTACACCTAGTACTTAGACAACAAGATGCCGTCATTTCAGTTATCTTTTTGAAACCCTACAAGACCTGTGATGAGGTCCATAACGTCTTTGCACCACCACACCCGAAAAGTGGCACGAACCGTTCGAAGAATGTTCCGAGGCGACCCACAACGGGTGTTGTAGGAATGCACCAAAAACAACACCAGACAAGACTAAAAGACACAGGCCTTCACTCTCTCGTCTACCGAAGGTTACGGGGTGATTTATCTCTCACGCTCTCTACGAATTAACCTCATCCGCCTAAATTCTGTGTATCTTTGCACCCTTCTCGTCTTACTTGAATGTACGAAGATTACTCCATCATTCCACTTTTCTTTGTCTCTCACTCACACACATTTATCTTCGTAGGTTATCTCTACACTGTGCCCAACTCTCTCTTACGACCAATTCAAACCATTGTCTGGCAGCTCGACATTTGAAGAACCTAACTGCAGCGCAGTCCCAGGTAAACTAATCAACACCCAAGTACCTGTAGAGTATACTAGAATTTTAGCTGACAAGTGGCTGGATTTTTTATTTTGAAACCCTCCAAGGACATAGAACTGTCCCTCAAGATCTAGAGGTGAGCACGAAGAAGTCGATTGGCTTACACAAGCTCATTTAGTAGATATTGATTATTGAATGCAACCTTCGAAAGGCCTTAGTAGACATAGAAACAATAACCTGTCGTTTCTTTGAAATGAAATATGAAATTTACTCTTGTAATGTGGAGCTAAGGGTTCATCATGTAAATCAAATAATCTAAAGCCAGTAGTAAAACAACAGATATGTTCTCCTGGAGCTCGTCTCACAAGTAATAATTACCTATACTTATCGATCAAGCTATTTGATGCGCCAAAGAGAACTGAATTGCTGTTGCCGTGTTTTCCACTACTGGTAGATGAAAACCTTCATTTTAATAAAATATTTTATCCTGATAACACTAATGTGTCCTTATACGATGTTCTGAAGGGCAAGATGTTGCATGGTTTTTATGCCAATAATCTTCCTCGTAGGTTGTAAGATCAACATAGAACTTCGAGAAGACCCTCATAATTCAACATCAGTGAAGCTTTTGGGTTTTTACTCACACGATGCATGGAGATTTTTGGTCAGATCAGCATGCAAACGACGAAGTAGTGTTACAAGGGAAATATTCCTTAGGAGAACAGTTGACTTCGCAGTACGTTATATGGTTTTTTATGCTAGCTTTTTATCACTTTATCCACTCATAAAGTTCCATTTGCTTTCTCATCTTCTTTACGAGGATTAGTCTAGAAGATTATTTTGCATAGCTGCTTACAGGACATAGTCAAAATATTCAAAGTCGACCTACATTAAATGGAGCACTATGTAAAACGTTTAAGGATACTATGGAATGCAGTAATCCTTTATTGATTGAATACCATGCTGTTGTCGTTTGACAGTTTAACTATGCCAGATTGTTTCCTATCCCAGATGACCACATATGGTTGTGTTGGACTAGCTGTACAATTAGCGATTAAAACAGAAATCGATAAGAACTAGCATGTTTAACATTCACTGAGATGAACATCAATAGCAGATCCAAAGTAGATGCCACACTTAGCTGCATTGGTCAATTAGTCAGCAAAGTGATTTCAGTTAACTTGTTCTACCAGTAAAACAATTAAATTCATCAAATTACAGACAAGAATTTATGAAGCAAAATAATGTTAGTACTAGATAGTGGTACTTTTCATGTAGTGGGTTTTCTGTAAGAAATAATTACACTCTCTAGACGTGGAGACATGCACCAACTGAGCTCTCAGAATATCGATATAATTGTATATGTACCAGTGTTCAAATGGTTCAAGCAGTTGTTGATAGAATAGAAGGAACTTTCCCCTAGCTGACTTCCGTGTCTAGAATCGTAGAACACTACTTCTTGTGATGGTCAGTCTGCGTACAAGTAAAGAGGAAGCAAAGGATGACAGTTGGAATGAGAAAATTCAGTTAGTTGTGAGCCGACAGCTCTCACACCTCAAGTAAATATCAAGCCAGTGTTTAGAGGATTCATATGAAGTGGCCTGGATCACTTCTTAAGGAAGAGCATTCCAGGGTTAAACAATTGCATCTGGTACCTACCCTGCTATATTCTAAGCTTAGTCTATATATGTGTCCTCTAAGATTAGTGCTACAGTCAAGATCAAATAAGTGAGGGAGTGGGTACCCAGAACTCCTTAAATGTAATTAGTTATTACCAAGTTTCTTCTTAGTCTTCTACATTCAAGGGAATATAAATCAAGCGCAACCAGTTCTTGAACAGATTTGGTCGAGTGCCTCTAGATGAATTCTAAGTTTAATTTGTCTGTGTGTGGAGTAGGGAAGAAGTCAACAGTTTTGAACTCCAGGTGAGGCTATGTGAAGGTGTTGAAAACTTGGTGAAAACAACTACGATCGAAATGTCCGAAAATTCGTCTAAGGGTTACTAATGCCGGGTTCCAGTGAAACGCATTTCTGCCACAACTGGCAGCAACGCTTCAATTTCCATGCCGTTGAAACTGTATACAAGACATGCATCGTGTTTTACGTGTAACATCTTGCATTTTTTAGGATTAAATTTGAACTCATTATTGACTGTACAGCTTTGGAGTTGAATCGAGTTTTCCTGTAGAGAAACACTGTCTTCTTTACTTTCTCTCCATAGTTTCGTATCATCGACAAAAAAAGGATTTCGAAAGAAACTTGTTGAGACAAGTCGTTAATGTATATTAGAAAAGGAGGCGGCCTAAGCACTGAACCCTGGGGAAACCCCACTAGGGCAGTCTGTTTCTTCAGACATACAGAAACTCATTTGAACTCACAATAAACGACCATTTAGATATGAAGACAACCAATCAATGAGGGGTGGTCTGATCCTGATTAATTTTCACTTATTGATAAAGCAGTCATGATTAACACTACCAAACGCCTTATCAAAGTCTAGATAAATAATATTAATTCGACCTTGAGTGGCCGACAACACTAATCCATCTGTCTGCTGCAGTCAGCAGATTAGTATTGCAGGGGTATTTTTTTCTAAGTCCGTGTTGTTAGGACGTAAAGTAGTTGATCTTCATAAGTTGACCCTCAGTCCATCATAGATTAACGATTCCATTACTTTTGAAGGTATAGATAAGCTCGTCGCCGGTCTGTATTTCTTCAGGTTGCTTCGTTGGCCTCCTCCGAAGATTGGCGTTGTATGGCTTAACTTCCAAAGATCGTGTACTTTCTCCTGACTTAGAGAATCCTCAAATAACTTACTTAAAGTTTCTGCGAAGACTGATGCGCTTTCCTGCAGTACCACCGCATGGATTTTATTTGGTTCTGGAGAGATGTCTTTTGTGAACAGTAACAGCTTGTGCTCAACGCCCAAGTCAACGACCGGGGTTTCTACTTCGTTAGTGGGGTATTCACAAACTTTTGAGTAGGTGAACGATAACGAAAAGATTTACAAGTACTAGTCAGCTAGAAGCTCAGCTGTTTTAGTGTCGCTACTGGTCAGTCCACTGGCCCTATTAGTTAAGCAATTTCCGCTTTAGTCTGGCGGAACAATGCAGGACAGCGGACTAGCCTTCTCAGGTTAGAAACAAGCATGTTTGTAAGCCTAAGTTGATGCCGTTGTCGATAGGCTCTCAATGCCTTAGCACATGGTTTATTGTCTGTTTGAATAGTCTGTATGTTTATTCTTACCACTCCTTTGATCTTCAGGCAAGTAGTGTTTTTTCAATCTAAGTAGTTTACGATTGGAGTTACTTATTACCATAAGCAACTAGAACACTGTGATGTTGAAAGTGGAACAAACTGACTGATGGACTGCATGATTTTGTCATGTATGAATCTCCAGTGGGTGCTCACATCTTGTCATACATGTTAAACTTCCCAATCTATCTGTTCCAGCGCCATCCAAAGAGCCGGAGTGTTCAATAGTTTGAGGCTCCAATGACACTCATTTAAATGTTTAGTTAGATTGGTTTCGTAGATATACTGGAGCTGATAACAACGTGGTCATTCCTACCCAAAGGAAGAAGAATTACTAGGTTATCAGTGAAAATTTTCAATTTTGAAGATACGCTCAAAGAGGTATGGGGTTTGAGTCTCCTTCCATCACCTTACTGTTCTCACAGTTTCCTTAAGTTCCAGTTCCTCAATCAGATTGAAGAATCCGGCTTCGATGGGATCACCACTTCCGCTACAAGTATGGTCTCCAAGGTCAACCTCGGTAGAATTAGTACGTAGGTGTGCCAAAGTTTTAGAGAGCGACTGATTACCCTAGCATTTGACCGTCATCCTGTATGCCAGCAGGTAGATAACTATAAGTGACTACCTAACCCCACTACCAGCCTTAATGTCATTGCAAAACAGCGTGGTTTTAGCATCTGTCAGCTCTTGATATGATATGTCAGGAGGAACCCATGTCTTAGCACTGTCTATAAAATGGCATGAGTCTCCTTACTTAGTTCCGGCAATTCATCAAGTTTATGCGGTAAACTTTGTGCATTTGTGTAGATGTATTTTATGCTCTCTACTTTGGACATACTTCTTGAGCCCTCGTCGTTGTCAATTGGTTGGCTTAGTCATCATGCATGGGGACTGGGAACCTGTCTAAATCCTGCTTACCAACGTAGTATTATCTGCCCGTCCCCCGTTTTCACATCTAAACATTCTTCTAGAAGTAAAATCAGATCCGATTGTTTATGCTTTCGTTGTAGCCACTCGTCTGCGACTTGTTAGGCTGTATGCAGACTCCAGGTGGCAAGCGATTTCCGTTCGCCTAGAATGCCTCCAGTGTGGATACTGCAAGCGGAGAGGAAGGAAAGACCACTTTGACCAACCTACGTTAGGGGGTCATCATCTTTTTGGGACATTCGGAAGGTGCTCTGTGTCATTGTTCCTTGAAGTTCATAGTATTCCTGAGTAACTTTCACTCACGGGAATGGTGCTGAATATCCTCAGTGCCTGGGTTTTCAAGTATCCTTGTATTATCAATCTCATTCCCCCAAAGTATACCACGCTATTTTTGCCCGAGAGTTTCTTTATGGCCATTCTCTCCAGTAATAGTGTCCTTACTTCCCCTTCAGCTTTTAGTACATGAGATACTAACAGAACATCCCCAACACAATCTGAGTTGGAGAATGTTGGCCTTAGGAGTAAGAGCTTATTCTTCATTGTTAGATTGGGATCCCGTCAGTGACTGGTTGGAGCTACTGGCCTAGTGTGGTCCAGCTTAAGTTTTCAACATACGTTTTCCCAGAGAACCCTATTGTTCTTATCCAGTGTAATCTAATCCTACACAAGTTGAGTAACCGTGCAATCACCAAAGTATCCACGGAAAAACTTTTCAGGTTCAACTTCTCGGACGCCGTGAACACTTGCTATAACTACAAAGAAATGGCAGTCAGAGCGAAAGCTACTTTACACTTTCTGCGTAGACAGCTTCGTCTTCTTACTCCTGAACTGTTTCTCACAGTTTTCAAATCTTGCGTACGGCCGCACCTGAGAGTCTTCAACACGGCAGTACTCCAACACTCAAGAAAACCTCAATCTTCTTGAGAAAATGCAAAGATCTGAAATAAAATCATTTGTGGCACTAGGGGAAAGGCAAACTGTGACAGACTTAAACCCAAATCTATTCACTTTGCTCTACCACAGAAAGGGGGGTGAGCTTATTATATCTACAAGAGCATCCATCAGCCAAGGCACACAAACAAACTTACCTTGCCTGCAACATGGCGGTCATCAGCAGAGAACCCCATCAGGATAACAGATCAGAGAGCTAACACCAGGCTGAGGTCTAACCTTTTCTCCCTAAGAGTATGCGCTTTATAGAATACCTCACTATGGGATGTTGTCACAGCGTTCTCAGTGGATTCATTCAAAGACGGTTGGATAGTTAGATCATTTAGTGTGGCTTACCATGGGTACTCCTGTGCACAGATCTACTCAGAGCATTACTGACCACACCAGCCCACCAATACTTCCTTCTTATTTACCATTCACCATGTCTCTCTTTTAGTGCACGTGTATTATCTACTAACTCTCCTCTAGTAACTAGACCCATACCATCTACTTTTACCTTTCGGGTAAGTCCCATGCACCTTTTCCTACTATCTTGCTATTCCTAGTCAGCCACTTATATAGATGGGAGTCACGAAAGACCCCTAATCTTCCCAATAACCCGTA